ATTTAGACCTTTATATCCCACAATTGCTTACTCGAAAGTCGAAAGTTCGGATCCCATAGCTAAGACCTCCGTACAGAACCCATAGCATACAGTACGCTTTAATTGTAGTCAAAATGTCGGGAAGAGAATCGGTGCATTCAGTCACTCGACTACTCCGACCATTGAAGTGTCTGCTTTAAATGACAGTTGTAATAACTTGATTAATGATTGTGTCAACATAATACCTGCCATAGTGAAATTGACTTACATGTGACACATTTTCTTTTTAACTAATTTAAGTGTTTTCATATGATTAAATACAATGTCGCTTGTATTTTTATTTTGTTTGAATATTGCAGATAATGTTTCTAGCTTAGAAATTTTGCAAGGGAAATAATTTGCTTATTAATATACACAATTAGTTTGATAAAGCAAAATCAATGAACACAATGACATACCGTTTTATGTGACATAACATACCAATAAACGTAATAAAATATTTTCAATAATGATAAATATTTAGATGTCTTTTAGTCTAATGTTTAAAAAGATTAATGCAATTACAAAACTACATACATTATTATTATATTTTACACTTTTGCAAGACAACCGAAGATATCGTTGAATTAATGATTAGTGCTTTACCCGACTCTTTCGGTGAATTTTCCATATAGATCTTCTATATAATATACAAATTAATTTATATTTTTTCTTTATATTTAGACGTTTTGTATTAGATCTATGTATAAGTAAACCATCTTAAATGAATGAACGCAGGCTACAAGTAAGAAAGAAATATTACTATTGTAAATCTGTATCAGTCATCACAAGCCGATGATGAAAATTGTAATACTAAAGCGAACACACAACTGACACTATAAATTACGTGTCTGAGGCAAATAAAAAAAAAATAAATTAAATTTTCAGTTATCATATTATAACAGTTTCAATACACCAATAGTGTATTTTTAAAAAATAAATAAATCAAATTTTGTTGTAAAAAAAAAATCTTCCATATAATATAAAGAAAAATACCAATTAATTTTACATTACATTTTTATAATGAATTTATACAAATGTCATTGGCCTATCATCATTTTATTTCCATTACCAAGCACTCTGTACATGGCAATTATTTATTTTTTCTTAGACATGTGTATTGTTAGGCTTCAATGTTAATCGTAGAACCTATACAATAAATACATTTTAATTTTTTTTCAAAAAAACAGACCTGTTTTGCGCTTACTATATTTTTATGAATGTCCCATACTAACATAAATCGGTTTATTGGTTGTTTGAAAGACATGTATTAAATATATTATTTCATGTACGTGTCTGGTGCACTAATTCATTACTAATCCTGAGCTGTATCAGTCGTTAAGCCTACACGTGTGTACGAACTCTATCTTTATCTCTCGCTTACAACAGGGTATCAGATATATAAGGGATGGTCTATAAATGACGACATATCTGGATAGGGGAAGGGGCGGAAGGAGGGGATGGGTTTGGTGACGATAGAGAAAAAAGTAAAGACACGTTTTTCCACTAAAAAACTGAAAATGAGTTGTAGGGAAACAACAACAAAACTATCACGTATTTCAGTAAAGTGTGTATCGCCTCCCCTACTGTTGAAAACGACGCATTTCATTACATCTGAACACTACACCTGAGCATTTAGAATATAACGTTAATACTTAATACAGATTATTAGTACATAGTAACACTTATAGAAGTACAAAAAGTATACAGAATGTATCATACGTCTTGGTTAGAGTCTTGAAATATGTGTACGAAGAATTGGATATTATAGGAAGAAAGATAGAAGAAACCAAATGATTGCTTTCGATACATCTAACACTTCAGTCAGTAACACTATGTCATGTATATTAGATATATTTGAACCTTTATATCTCACGATTCCCCATCAGAGAAACTTAAGTTCGGATCCCTGGAGTCGAGTCTGTAAGATGTACTTAAGTTCACCCAGCTCAGATGGGTAGGCTACCTGACTAATGATAGGAAAACATGCGGCCACAGCTAAGATCTCGGTACAAAACCCCTATCTGATAGATCATTTAGATCGAAATGCCGAGAAGTCAAATGGTGCAATCAATCGTTCAACTACTTCGACGATTGTAGTATCTGCTTTAAATGGCAGTTCTAATAACTGAATTAAGGATTGTATCGATATAATGTCTGCCATATTGAACTCACGCGAAGCTTTATATTAAGCTATATGTGACACATTTTATTGTAGCTAATTTTTAATTTGTTCGTATTTTTTTCTTGCTTGAAAGTTTTGCAAGGGAGATAATTACCTATTTAATAACCATCATATATTTGGCGAATGATTTGGAAACAAATACAGACAATACAGTCATATAATTTTCTGCATCAAAAGTCACCCATAATTGTAATTAATGTGTATCACTTGTGATACAAATATGTAGATGTGCGTTTGTTAAATGTTTGAAATATGTATGCAATTGTAAACGTACATAGAGTAGCGTTATGTTTTACAAATTTAAAATCAACCGACGACATCGAAAAATGAATGGTGCATTTTTCAATTTACCTCTATAGTATATTTTCGAAAACAAAATAGATGTTATGATAAAAACGTCGTTGGTCTCACACTGAGTCATTCCCATTACCAACCGCCCCGTACTTTAAAATAAATGTTTATATTGGTAATGTGTATAATTAGGCTGCAATATTTAATATAGGACCTTTAATGTGTTAAAATAGATACATATACATTTTCAAACTCAGTGTGGTTTTGCGCATAATGTATTTTAATAAATGTACCATACCAACTAAAATTAAATGCATGTATTTATTTACAAATCAGGTTAAGGGAGGGTTGAAATAGGAGGCTTTGGTAACAGAGGAGAAAAAGTAACGACACTTTTTGCGTTAAAAATTAGAGAAATAGTTGTAACCATCATTTCGCTTTGTTAAGAAAGTCAAGCTTAGTTAAGATTTCAATTAGAAAAAAAAAAACAAGAACATAAATACTGCTATTAAATGTTTGATGTAATTTTGTGGGAGGGGTTTGGTAAAATAAAGTGTGATATTATTTTGGGTGTGTTATAAAACTAACAACTTCATTGTATTTAAATATAACTTTAAAAATAGCTAAAATGTATGTGGTAAACTCAGGTATTTTTTCTCCATAACTTGTTTCAGATTGTTTATTTCACTAAATTTGAAGTGCAATGTTTTATTGTCTCCCTTCTTTTTTTAAAAAAAACAAAATAAATGTCAATTTTAATTTGGTTACTAAAAAAGAAAGATTAGGAAACATCAGCCAAACACTTGTTTACACTAAATACAATTTACGGTCAGTTTACAAAACGCAACATTTTATATGGTGATAAAACTATCTGATTAAGAAAACCGCTTTACATCACCAACACAAACGGCGGTAAATAATTAATGTTCTCTTTTTATCAGTAATTCAACTTAATTTTAGATGACATACGCATACGTGTGCCCCAATGTTTAGTGACCTTGATGTTTACCCTGCTACATTAGCACTATATAATATGTCAACTTGTTTAAGACATATATGAAATCAGAAAAACATGTTTTCGAGATCTCAACTGGGATTAAATATTGTGAAGTGCGTCGATTAACTCTTAATGTGATTAATTAATAAGGTGTTAGCACACACTGATGATTACTAATATGTAAAAATTGGATTAAAACTATATAGGGCTGCTAAGTAGGTCACCAACCAGTTATATTTCTCATGCAGGTTTAAGGTTTAGGTTTAGGTTTAGGTTTAGGTTTAGGTTTAGGTTTAGGTTTAGGTTTAGGTTTAGGTTTAGGTTTAGGTTTAGGTTTAGGTTTGGGTTTGGGTTTGGGTTTGGGTTTGGGTTTGGGTTTGGGTTTGGGTTTAGGTTTAGGTTTAGGTTTAGGTTTAGGTTTAGGTTTAGGTTTAGGTTTAGGTTTAGGTTTAGGTTTAGGTTTAGGTTTAGGTTTAGGCTTAAACCTAGGTTTAGGTTTAGGTTTATGTTAATGTTTATGTTTATGTTTATGTTTATGTTTATGTTTATGTTTATGTTTAGGTTTAGGTTTAGGTTTATGTTTATGTTTATGTTTATGTTTATGTTTATGTTTATGTTTATGTTTATGTTTATGTTTATGTTTATGTTTATGTTTATGTTTATGTTTATGTTTATGTTTATGTTTATGTTTATGTTTATGTTTATGTTTATGTTTATGTTTATATTTAGGTTTAGGTTTAGGTTTAGGTTTAGGTTTAGGTTTAGGTTTAGGTTTAGGTTTAGGTTTAGGTTTAGGTTTAGGTTTAGGTTTTGGTTTTGGTTTAGGTTAAGGTTTAGGTTTAGGTTTAGGTTTAGGTTTAGGTTTAGGTTTAGGTTTAGGTTTAGGTTTAGGATTAGGTTTAGGTTTAGGTTTAGGTTTAGGTTTAGGTTTAGGTTTAGGTTTAGGTTTAGGCTTAGGTTTAGGTTTAAGTTTAGGTTTAGGTTTAGGTTTAGGTTTAGGTTTAGGTTTAGGTTTAGGTTTAGGTTTAGGTTTGGGTTTAGGTTTAGGTTTAGGTTTAGGTTTAGGTTTAGGTTTAGGTTTAGGTTTAGGTTTAGGTTTAGGTTTAGGTTTAGGTTTAGGTTTAGGTTTAGGTTTAGGTTTAGGTTTAGGTTTAGGTTTAGGTTTAGGCTAGGCTTAAACCAATGTCTAGCGTTAGTTTTGGTTTTGTGTTAAGTTTTAGGCTTAGGTGGATGCTTTGGTTTTGGTATTTTTCCAAAGGTTAGGATTTAAGTAGTATATAGGTATAGAATTCTAATTCGAGTTAGGATTCATACTTGAGCGGGGGGGGGGGGTAAATCCCTGGGGTAATTTCCGGGGGGGGGGGGGGGGGGTGTAATGTCCTGTAGCCCCTTGGAACACACACCTAGGCCAGGACAATGTCACAGGCCAGGTGGATCAGGTCATGCGTATCATGTGTGCTATATAACAGGCAGGCGTATCATGTATGGTGTGTAACAGGCAGCAGTTCTCTTCAGATCATCAAGTGTGTGTGACACAATCACGTCTCTGCCACTGGTAGCACACGCAAGCTACACGCAAGCAACTTTTAACAATGGATTTTGTTTCTTTCAACTCACAGTAAGAAGTTTTAGAATTTTTTTTGTTTGTTTAAAGTAAAGTTGTTGTTGGCAGGGGGGGGGGGGAGGTCGGGGGGGGGGGGGGGGTATAGAACATCCCCCCCCCCTCCTTCTAATCGACCCCCTGTCCAAAAAAAAAAATTATTGTCTTGTTATGCTGGATTTAGGCTTTATGTCTTGACCCAGGTTCCAACTATGAACCGTATTTGTCAGATAGAGATGTCCGAAATTTCGCTCGCGAGTTTCGTTCTAGAGAGACTGCCGACTGACGACTGACGAGGAAGTGAGTCAAATAAAACCTTGTAAAAAAAAAAAAAAAAAAAAAAAAAAAAATATATATATATATATATATATATATATATATATATATATATATATATATATATATATATATATATATATATATATATATATATATATATATATATATATATATATATATATATATATATATATACATATACATATATAGGCGTATGTGTATATATATATATATATATATATATATATATATATATATATATATATATATATATATATATATATATATATATATATATATATATATATATATATATAAGCCTATATAAATATATATATATATATATATATATATATGGGGGCCTAAAATATTTTTTTTTGCGGGGTGGCATTTTTTTCTAGTTTCGCCACTGCCCCCCCCCCCCCCCCCCAACCCCAAAACACACTATTAAACGATCCTGACTATACGACTGGATAGTAGGCTGTCTTATGGGTTGACTGCCATTTGGAGAATAGTTTAGACTTCACAGCATACCCTTTACTTTCTAGAGTTTTATGTCATTGGTTTGTTAAGCACACAACTTGAAAGAAAAAAAATAATACCGACATACCGGTATTTTGGCCGCGTTTTGGAATAATATTCGACGTAAGTTTCCTGATAACAGACCCTAAACAGTTTCTTGGTATCATTAATATCAAGAAAGAAATATAAATACCGTACTTTGACCTCATTTCTGTATTTGCTACACAGTATTTATGTGAGACAACCTAAGGCTTGTTTTTATGTCAGTAAATGTTACAGCAGTACTTGATTACTGTATGTCAGTAAATATTACTGCAGTACTTGTTTACTGTATGTCAGTAACTGTTACAGCAGTACTTGATTACTGTATGTCAGTAACTATTACAACAGTAGGCTACTTGATTAATGTAATCGTCAGATTAGGTGGTCGGAGACTAGGAAATACATTGTTTAATAAACAAGTTTAGTTTAAAATAGTTTGTGAGGTGTGGGGTCATGTATGATCTACGTAATTGAGATACCCTTTATAAAAAGCTTAATATAAAAATGTAATAAAATATTGACTATATTTCATCAGTTAAAAATAGAAAGACTAGTTTATCTTGTTACTTTGTGTTAGATTGTGACATTTTCCACGTAAAATCGTCCTTGTTTATTTAAGATTTTAGAACGTGTTTGTGCATTATCTGACAACATAATTTTCGTCTACTTGTGTAGCCATGGACGAGGCAGGGGAGCAGAATATCGTTTGACGCAGCAACCTGGTCATATCAGGGCCAACATGGCTGCCGATAATAGCAATAAGTATGACGACGTAGACACCAAAATGGCTGACGGTGTGTTTACGTGTATTAGAGAGAAGGAAAGCCGAGAAAGATTCACAGATTTGACGGTAGTAGTCCAGGATGTCAAGTTCAGGTGCCACCGTTTTATTCTGAGCGCGTGTTCCAAGTTTTTTGAAGCTCTGCTTAGAACTGATATGAAGGAGACAGGCGAAGGTTCAGTGGCGCTGGGTGGAATGGAACCTGCGACCTTTTCTCGAATCCTCGATGTCTTGTACGCCGGTGCGAACATTTTGACAACAGAGAACATGTTTGTAGTCTGGCACGCGGTCAATCAATTACAGATAGATTTTTTAATCAAGGCATGTGAGGAGTTTGTGATCAACAATATGACGTCATCGAACTGCTGGACTGTGTACAACGAAGCCACAAAACTGGACTCGGCCAAAGTTTTAGGTGACGTCAGAAGATATCTGGCCGTGAACTTGCCTGACGTCATTGTCGGTGACAACTTCATTTGTCTGTCACTTAACGATATGATTGGCATTCTCAAACATCAGCCTCGGTCTGTCTGCACAGACTTTTCTGTCTTCTGTCTCTTGAGGTGGGCGTGTGCTGAGACAGACTCTATTCGCATCATGTTCAAGGCCACACATCCTCAGAAAAAGAGGATGGCATCTCAGTTCAGTGGCCAAGGAGTAGTTGCAATAAAACGCATTCCACCAAAACCCAATTTAAGTAATAGTGAGACAGCGGTCTACAGAAGGTCTTGCTTGAACCAGCTGCTGGAGAAGGTTGACCTGACACAAGCCAGCGTTGATTGCCTGAAGTACCTTATGACCAACGAGTTTGTCGCTGACCACAGAGACGCCATATTGCGAGTTAACAGAGCGTCAGCCAAGAGATTTGGTGGCGATGACTACGCACAAACACTGGACACATGCAAGCACTGTCAAGGGGGGCTGGTTTATCAGTAATGACAGGAGATTATTAGGGTGAGGGGGAGGAGTGGTCGGGGTGATTATTTTGTCATGCCCCCCCCCTCCTGTGTAATTAGGGAGGTATGGGGGGGGGGTCTTCTCGCCTGTACCTCTCATCACGCCTATGTTTAGCCATCAGCCTAATTATCTGACAAATAACAAGTCATCTTGTAAATGATAGTACAATTTTTCACATAGAGTTGACTGCTGTCACTGCACTGTTAAAAAATCCAACGGTCATTCTGTTGAGTGTTAGGTTTTAAGATTACAGACATTAATTTAAAGTTAATTGAACCAAATTGTACACGTCATAACATAGTTGCTTTGGACTCTATGTAAAAGGTTGTTTATTGATGTTTTAAATTTAACTGTATATAAAGGGTTGATTATAGATGTGTTATATCAATTTGACTCTAGACAAATTAAATGTGACTTATTGAATATTGAAACGTATGGTCATCTACACCTGTGCAGATGTGTGCGACTGTGAAATGTTGCATGAGTGGATCAAATGTTTCAAGAAAGAGAGTAGTATAGCAACATTAAAATGTATTGATCAAACAGGTAATACAAACACGTTTACCTAATCTGCCAATTAGACTATATGGTTTGACATCTTTATTCTCAGGTAGGGTCTAATCAAGTTAGTTTTTCACAGACTACTAGTAATAATTGGTTCTTTCCTGCTTAAAAATAAATGATGCTCTCAGCCATTCAATCATTCCATCATTCCATCATTCCATCATTCAATCATTCAATCAATCCATCATTCCATCGTTCAATCGTTCAATCATTCAATCATTCAATCATTCAATCATTCAATCATTCAATCATTCAATCATTCAATCATTCAATCATTCAATCATTCAATCATTCAATCATTCAATCATTCAATCATTCAATCATTCAATCATTCAATCATTCAATCATTCAATCATTCAATCATTCAATCATTCAATCATTCAATCATTCAATCATTCAATCATTCAATCATTCAATCATTCAATCATTCAATCATTCAATCATTCAATCATTCAATCATTCAATCATTCAATTATTCAATCATTCAATCATTCAATCATTCAATCATTCAATCATTCAACCATTCAATCATTCAATCATTCAATCATTCAATCATTCAATCATTCAATCATTCAATCATTCAATCATTCAATCATTCAATCATTCAATCATTCAATCATTCAATCATTCAATCATTCAATCATTCAATCATTCAATCATTCAATCATTCAATCATTCAATCATTCAACCATTCAATCATTCAATCATTCAATCATTCAATCATTCAATCATTCAACCATTCGATCATTCGATCATTCGATCATTCGATCATTCGATCATTCAATCATTCAATCATTCAATCATTCAATCATTCCATCGTTCCATCGTTCCATCGTTCAATCATTCAATCATTCAATCATTCAATCATTCAATCATTCAATCATTCAATCATTCAGTCATTCAATCATTCAATCATTCAATCATTCAATCATTCAATCATTCAATCATTCAATCATTCAATCATTCAATCATTCAATCATTCAATCATTCAATCATTCAATCATTCAATCATTCGATCATTCGATCATTCGATCATTCGATCATTCGATCATTCAATCATTCAATCATTCAATCATTCAATCGTTCCATCGTTCCATCGTTCCATCGTTCAATCATTCAATCATTCAATCATTCAATCATTCAATCATTCAATCATTCAATCATTCAATCATTCAATCATTCAATCATTCAATCATTCAATCATTCAATCATTCAATCATTCAATCATTCAATCATTCAATCATTCAATCATTCAATCATTCAATCATTCAATCATTCAATCATTCAATCATTCAATCATTCAATCATTCAATCATTCAATCATTCAATCATTCAATCATTCAATCATTCAATCATTCAATCATTCAATCATTCAATCATTCAATCATTCAATCATTCAATCATTCAATCACTCAATCAGTCAATCAGTCAATCATTCAATCAGTCAATCACTCAATCGTTCAATCGTTCAATCGTTCAATCGTTCAATCGTTCGATCGTTCAATCGTTCAATCGTTCAATCGTTCAATCGTTCAATCGTTCAATCGTTCAATCGTTCAAACGTTCAAACGTTCAATCGTTCAATCGTTCAATCGTTCAAACATTCAATCATTCAATCATATAATCATTCAATCATATAATCATATAATCATTCAACCATTCAACCATTCAACCATTCAATCATTCAATCATTCAATCATTCAATCATTCAATCATTCAATCATTCAATCATTCAATCATTCAATCATTCAATCATTCAATCATTCGATCATTCGATCATTCGATCATTCGATCATTCGATCATTCGATCATTCGATCATTCGATCATTCAATCATTCAATTATTCAATCCTTCAATCCTTCAATCATTCAAGAATTCAAGCATTCAAGCATTCAATAATTCAATCATTCATTCATTCAATCATTCAATCATTCAATCACTCAATCACTCAATCGTTCAATCGTTCAATCGTTCAATCGTTCAATCGTTCAATCGTTCAATCGTTCAATCGTTCAATCGTTCAACCGTTCAATCGTTCAATCGTTCAATTGTTTTAAAATATGTATACTCTTTTCTTAAAATAAATTTTTAAAAAGTTCGCAATAAAACATTTAAACGTGTAGGCCCCAATATATGTATATGTTAATTATACACTCCCCGGAAGATTGTCATGTAGTTAGCTACATTGTTACTGCTGTAGTTGTGCTCGTTATTTTATAACTTTAGCAAAGAAAATAACGTAGGTGTTATCTGCCCTGGGATACTTCGGTTCATTAAGTTGTAATTAATTGATCAATATTTTTTCATTGCTAAAATAAAATCATGTCTGTACTAATGTGTATGTGACTATATAATTCACTGCTGGTAACACATGGTCTATTGCAGTGGCGGAGCTAGAAAAAAAAGGCCCCCCCCGCAGAATTTTTTTTTGGGCCCCTATATATATATATATATATATATATATATATATATATATATATATATATATATATATATATATATATATATATATATATTAAGTTTTCGAAGTGAGAAACACCGACTCTCTAAATCTAGCCCGACACACTAAACTGACGATGATTTATTAAGAGGCTTTTTTCAAAACGTTAACAACCGTGTATTTTTTACACGTGTGCCCTGTTTACCAGAAGTTGAATTAAATATTAACAATTTCGGCAGTTCATTTCTACCAACTAGACACGCCAAGGCATGCTGTAAGTCCCTCGGCGACGGCCCAGGTGTCAGGGGAGTCACGGGGCTTTTGGGAGCTACCGGTTACCCCCGAAATTTTTTTTACCACCCCCTACCCCCCGAACGAAATGAAATTTCTATACTTTATATAGAAAATATATACTTTTAACAGCGTCCGCCCCCCCCCCCCCCCCGAAGAAAGTCTACCCCCCCCCCCCCCCCGAAAATTTCAAGTGCCCCCCCGGAGAAAAAAGTCTGGAAGAAACACTGGTTACATTACTGCACAGGGGATGGGCGCGACATATTGTTTCTTCCGGCAGTCTGGAAGAAACATTGGTGCAACACTTGATTAGATTTAATCAGCGAGTGTAGTAGCGAGACTTATTCCTAGTGTTGTCGGAACTTTTAAACGACTGGATGTGGGGGCCAACCTGCTCATATGTGATGCGCTCAGGATGACACTGTCGCCGGTGATTTCAAGTAGTAACCTCATCCGCTTATGCAAGATCTAGGGGCGCTAAATCACATATTTCCGTTGGGCGTCCCCACTCCAATATGTAAACAAATGTTAGCCTATGACAGAAACCTTTGCGTGGCTGTCAGAGTTTCTTCCAGGCATCTCTACGGGGGGGGGGGGCGGGGCGACGCCCCCCCCCCCCGAAATTTTTTTACCGCCCCTCCGAACGAAATGAAATTTATATAATTTATATAGAAAATATATACTTTTAACAGTGTCCGCCCCCCCCCCCCCCCGAAGAAAGTTTACCGCCCCCCAGAAGATTTCAAGTGCCCCCCCCCCGGAGAAAAAAGTCTGGAAGAAACACTGGTGGCTGTCCTCAACAGCTTCCAAAGTTTTCATGGCGATTGGGTAAATGATGCAGCAATGAAAAATAGACAGAAACGTGTTTTTCACATGTACAACTGTATGTGGCCAGCTCACGCGTCGGATAACTTTCTGATTTAGGGAAGGGGGGGGGGGGGGGGAATCCACAAATGACGTCACATTTTTTAACGACTAACAAAAAGCCAGACCCTCACACCCCCCCCCCCACCTCAATAACGTCATTGATAAATAGTAATTGACTATTAATTATATAATAATGTTCAATTAATTCTAAACGTTCTAATTAATTTCTAAATAATTATATAAAAAATAATCTTACCTTCCCTGTTTTGTGAATTAGATGTGCCTAATACTAATAGTATGCAAATAAATCAATATCTGTTGACTAGTGCTGTCTAGTGTCTGACAAAATGTGCTGAAGTGGTGAATCGTACGGTTAGGAAGTAGTTCATAAACGATACATTTATCTCCTCGATACTTGTGAGGTTGAGAAAGAGGGATGGGATAGGGGTCGGCTCGGGAAAAAAACTTGAAAGAGACGACAAAACGCCTTGATCTATGTACGTCAGCATCGCCCATTGTAAAACTTACTCAGGGGAGATAATTCCAAGTATAGGCCTTAAAAGTTTACTATGATATTTCTTGTAAAAGTAAAAAAAAAACAGTAAACGTATATAAAAACGAAGTTTCTAGTATTATATTCTTTTTTATTATTTGTAGGATACAAGATAGTACAGAATACAAATTCAACCACTATCACTAACACATATTAACATTGAAAAATGTTAAATGGATTTCGGCGGGTCCCTAACTAATGCCGAAACGAAGAACCGCGCATCATGAAAGCCACTTCATGTGTAGCGGCTTCTCGTGCTATGGT